AATATTTTGAATTTAACTATTAACATTGATATCCTCAAAACAATATTAACTTAAATTCACCGACATCTCAAAACACCGTGAGTAATGCATGATACGAAGATAACCCTACTTACTCAACGTACGCCAGAGAAGGGCTTTTCAAGAACCCATTAATTTCCATAAGTCAAAACCAAATTTATGACGAACGAAATTAATAGTTGATTTCCATTTGCCCATGCAATAAAATTTCCCGATGAGGGTTAATAAATTTAATCGCATTCTAAGTGAGTCCTATTTCCCGATCCTAAGGTCATCAAATTTGGTTATACGTCCCCCGAGGGGAGACCCGTACGCTCTCATAAGACTTCCTATAATCGTCTAATTAGAAATTTGTCTTGGTAATTTCCTACAATTTATTTTAGTGATGTCATCCGAAGGGGAGCCCATACTTCAATTAATTTATTTACCAACAAATTAGAAATGGTGGCCTTAGGAATTTTGAAATTAACTTTAATTTAAAATCTCATCTCAAACTTAGTATAATTTAAATGAGGATTTTTAAACTTATGCAATTTTAAATTAATCCCACGCATGAAGCATTATTTTAATTAACATGCATAATTATTCATGCAATAAATTAATCCCATGCATAAAGCAATAATTAATTCTCATTCATAATAAATAGATAATTAATTGGCATAATAAATTTAAATAAATAAATCTACTATTATGCCCATTAATTATTGAGTCTCCTTAAACAAGGAAACTTTATCAAATTCTTTCTTTGTCCAACTGGAACTCTCACTGCAATAGAATCCTGATAGATATTGTACTACTTGTCCAACAAGAAAACCATCAGCCACCAGCTGCCGCCGCCGCCGTCGGTTCGGTGGAAAATCGCCGAATTTTTTTTTCTTCGCGAAGGTCGCGTGTGCCACCCGACCGGGTTCTCCGCGGCCCGCAACCGCCTTGCTCCGCCCCCGCCTGGCTCGCCGGTGGCTCCGACAGCTAAGCTGCCAGCCGCGGTGGTTCGCCGGCAGTCGCCCGGGCCCGATTCTGATCAGGTTCGTCGAGGTTCGTTGATCTTCGTGATCTCCCGGTCATCAACACACGATCACAACACACGATCACAACACGAAAAATATAATATACAATTACATAATTCGATCCTAGATCCAATGAATGGATGTACAAGTTTTCTAAACAAATAATTAAATCTATCCGGTCAACCTCCGGGCAAATAATTATTATAAACATTCATCTATTAAATTCCTGGAGATGTCCGAGGTCTTAAAAACAAATTAAAACCCATACATCACATTCAACAACATTCATCAAACACATATACGACCATAATAGTGGATTAAACTAATTCCTGCAAAACTGAGTTATGCGAGTATAATCCAATATATATGGCTGCGTTTGAACACATCTTGTCAAATAAAGCTGTAAAAATTCAAACTTTATACAAAACGAATTACCCAAGTGCTCTGATACCACTTGTGGGATCAATGAGAATCTCGTTATGTACAAGTTACGAATTCAATAGCAAACGTAAACCTATGCGCAACGGATCTAAAGGTTTGACATAAAAAACTTACGGCTTAAAATTTTCTGAATCTGTCGGATTCGAGATGATCGGGAACAGCACGTCACGAAGAAGCCGGGATCGCGTGGATACGGATGACGGCGGTCGTGTGGCTGCGTCAGATCGCCGGTCGAGTCGCGACGACTCGTCCGACGGGCTGGGGTTGGCGAATCACGGCGGCGGGGTCGTTCGTCGGCTCTTGTAGATGATCACGATGTTTCGATTACCTTCGGGATCTTCTACTGTATCACTCGTACACCTCTTTAACTTGTATCAGTCGAACAACAAGAAGAAGATAAAGCTCAAATGAGATCTAGAGAGAGAGAGAGAAGGGGACGACGTGTATTCACGTTTCTGTCTCAAATCTGTTCTCTTCGAAAGAGTTTAATGATGTATATATAGAGCTACAGTAGGGATCCTTAGGAGAATAGGAACAGGGCTTCTTAAATAATGTACTAACTGTGGGCCAGACGCACTCATCCAATTACTTAAATAATATTACGGTCCACTAACGTAATACTATTGCACTCCCTTTTCCTATTCCAAATTACATTTGAGGCTCCAATAATAATTACCCTAATTACCTCTCATGTTTAAGATATAATATCCATTAATATATTCGATCACTGACAACTAAGAAATAATTAATGTATTATATTACCAAAGCTAGCGCTCGTTCATCACATTATTATTATGCTGGAATTTAATCCACCTGCAGAGTTTAGCATAACAATCCTTCATGAACTCACTTCGGGGACATCATCAAACTAACGCACATGGTAATTGTAAATATCCTAAAAACATTATACATACAACAATATTACCCAAGACAACAGGAATATTAATCCAGCGAACTGAACCTCACCCAAGTGAATCAATGTAATTTGTACTAAATATATATGTCTGTTTAAATCTTACAGGTTAAGAGAACGCAGTTAATTAACCGAGGCCTAGTTCGTTTATGACGATCAATATAAAACGAACTTCTCTTCTCTGGGATTCTGTTCAATACATAAATGTATTAGTGCAACTAAGCAGTCAAGATCAACTGTACCGTTGAGACTACAATCGTTCTGATGGGGTGTTCATTTCCATCTAGGCTGTGAGCCATAGATTCTTGTTTCACAAGTAACTGATAGAATGATCTTCTGTTCACCCGATGATGACCCATTCTATCTAGTGGCAAAACAACAGAACATAGAATTTATTTAATCATAAAGTGTAATATCATCCAAAACAAAGCTTTTAGTATATAACACCACCAACATGAAGATCAACAAGTAGGGTGCAGTCAAGGGAGACGACAACTGTGAATTTCTTTCGTTAGGGGCACGTTCGTTGGCGACGCTGCCTTCTTCCTCAGCAAATTCAGTTGTGGCGACTTGTGGATCTAGAATTTAAAGGACGGTGGATCTAACGGGGGCGACTCGATGGACGGTGGATCTGACGACGGTGGTGGCTTGGTGGACTGTGGATCCGGCTTGGGCTGTAAATTTGGTGGCGGATCATGTGAACGACTGAATTGATTTGTTGAATTTATGATTTTTTATACGTATTCTTCAATTTCTATTGGGAAATTTGGGGGCTTCAAATTTTGTGAAATTGAGTTGATTTTTTCATAGAAATAGTGAATGGTGAATTGTGTTTTTCTAATTCTTTTGTCAAAAGCTACTAAAGATATATATTGAAATCAATGGCCAAAATATGATTGATTAGACGTCCTGGGCTGATGTGGTATCCCAATTTTGGTATAATTGGACCTGGATTTTCACATTTCTAAGGCCGACATCGGACGAACCAAATATATTCATCGACAAAAAATATTAATAAATGGAAAGATATCAAGCCAGATCATGTCAACCAAACAAGCTCTGATAATATTGAGGAGGATTGTGATTGAGTTAAATTTAAATAATTATTCAATGACAACTTAGGGGGTGTATTCTTTAGGAATTTAGATTGACATTTCAGACTTTTTGAGATGTAAAATTTTTTAAAATTTGAAGATTTTGGAGTAATCCTTTTAATAAATCTCATGTCTGGAGATTGAATTTTGAGTGAGATGTTTTATCTTTTGAAATCCGACCAAATCTAAAAAAGTTTTAAAAAATTTTAGTCTCAAATAAGTTAAATAATTTAAAATTTTGTAAGACTTTTTAAATCTCAAAATAACTGAAGACTTTAAAAAGTTTTAAAAAGTCTAAATTAAATACCCAATATTTCTAAATCTAAAATCTTAAAAATGTATGAGTTCACTCCGTACTAGTATTTAATCATGTGCATTTGCACAGATATAAAACACGTTTTTGTTTGTATTTATTAATTAGACATGTACTTCTATCATATGAAAATTATTACTTTTTCTTAAGTTATTTTTATCATTCAAAATTAATTGATATTTAAATTTTATTTTAACCATGCACGTTTGTATTAGTAACATGAATAAAATAATTTATATATTTGTGGCATATATTAAGAAAATTAACATAAATAAAAAAATTATTGGTGTTTCTGATTTTTAGAAAAAAATAAGTGTCAATCATATTTTTCTTCCAACAATACAATCAAATATAGCGGTTACAGCTCTGAACGTGTCAATCAACTTTAAGTTTCAACATTAGCCGTTACACATCTGAATATTTTGCTACCAAATTTAGAATTAATTTAGTAACTGATCCAAAAAATAAATAATAAAAATATATATATTAAAGTGTTACCAAATTTAGAATTAATTTAGTAACTGATCCAAAAAGTAAATAATAAAAATATATATATTAAAGTGTAACGGTTTCAACAGATTAATGAATAATTAATTAAAAAAATATAACTCCTTTTGGAGGGAAATAAAAATAGATTTTTTAAAATATTTTATTAATGCATCAGCAAGTAATTATATATTATATAGAGAAATACTCACATGCTGTAATATCCCACATCGGTGGCTAAGGAGAACGAAACATGCCTTATAAGAGGGTGTGGATACCTTAACTTGTAGGACGCGTTTTGGTGAGCTGGCTCCCAAAGGCAAAACCGTGCGGGTGAGCGGGACCAAAGCGGACAATGTTCTACAGCGGGTGGACTGGGCTGTTACAGATGGTATCAGAGCCAGGTTCCCGGACTGGTGTGCCAGCGAGGACGCTGGGTCCCCAATGGGGGTGGATTGTAATATCCCACATCGGTGGCTAAGGAGAACGAAATATGCCTTATAAGAGGGTGTGGATACCTTAACTTGTAGACGCGTTTTGGTGAGCTGGCTCCCAAAGACAAAATCGTGCGGGTGAGCGGGCTCAAAGCGGACAATATTTTATAGCTAGTGGACTGGGCTGTTACAGATTGCATTAATGTGCCCACCGTTGATGTGGTATACACACATTGGTGATGTTAAATGTTAAAAAAAATACATGAATGCATCACCAATGTTAATATCTATATATAGATATAGATATCCCACAGCGCAACTCCCCGCTCGATTTTCTACCATTATCTTCTGCAATTTATTCAAGTTTTTCTTCTACACTGAACTGAACCCTATCTGTACTGGGAGGATACTACCAGGGCTTTTGTTGATTGTAAATGGAGACGTCACTCAGGTATGGCGGAGATTCCAAGTCTCTCCGAATTCACGCCAAGGAAAAATTGCCCCTTGGTGCCAACGCTCTCTGCCAGGTTAAAATTTCCGTTACCTCTGTCTCCTATTTAATCCATTATTTCTGTGTACGAGTTTGATTACCAATAAACATTTCAATGGATAAGTTCCTTGTTATGTTTGATTTTCGTCATATTTTATTTCTCTTTGCCCTTTTAGGGCTGTCATGTGGTTGGTTTAGTGATTCCTTGAGATGTTGTGATGGTTTGCACTGTCTTGCAAACATGTCCTTTTAGCTCGGAGTATCCTATGTTCTTTTTCTTTGTGCATTTGTTTGATTCTACTTAAGGACGTCCACACAAGTCTGGAACGGTTCGTGAATGTACTTTTCTCTCTTTTCTTGTCCTTGTGTTTCTTTTAGTAATTAGGTTGAATGTGTAAAAAATTCATCACTCAATCACGTTTTTGGAAAAATGGGACAATCTCNGGTTCTTTGGTAAGTAAGTTCTCCTGATGTTTGTTTATTATCATATTACTCATCTTGTGAAACTTTTAACTCAGTAACCAGTCTTTAAATTGGCAGCTTGATGGAGAGCTAGACACCAGATACGGGACCCCGACTTGTGTGAATGCGATGATAAGATACTTCTATCCTGATGTATGTCTGTGTACTCTCCAATTAATGTAGCTAATTCTTGCAATAACCTTTCTCCAATACACACTGAAGACTAATATGGGGATGGATAGTTTTCGTGGAAGTCCTTATTGATTCTGTATGAATGTAAATGTTTCGCAAGTATCTGTACAGGAGGTTACTTTTGGACCATGGGATATGTGTGTACACATTAAGAGTTGGGTTAAAGAAATTTTAGAAAATTTTCTTTATTCTTAAAAAACGTGATGTTTAGAAAACTCTTTTATTCAGAAGTTCAGCTTTTGCTGTTGTTGAGAAAATTTTACTGTTTAGATCCTCCCTTGATGTTCATTAAGAAGATAAAAGCACAAAATAATTCTGTCAATTTGCCAAAATCCTTGACATTGAAGTCTTACATGTAATACATATTCTGGACCTTAACAGTTATCAGCGAGCTTTGGTGTGGGAGTTCGATACAATAACAATAAGCGTAAGCTACACTATAACTTACGTGGGAAGAAGGCATTTCCAGTATCCTCTGATGGAATGCTGAACTTCAACATTAAGGGTCGATACTACTTTGATGAGGAGTTTAAAGAGGTTTATCCTAAATTTCATTTTACCAGACAAGACAAGTTAATGTTTTGCGATCAATTGATTCATGTAGTTACATATTTTTCCCAATCTGTTATTGTTTATTTCATCAAGTGTCTTAAATAATCCCACATTTTTTTTTGGATGCGGTACACCTCATTTGATATTAACATCTGCATACAATGTTTGAAGCAGTTAAACTATACTGGTGCTGCTGAATTTACTTGGAACATCTTCAACGTAAAAAAGGATCAGGACTTGCGTCTCAAGTTTGGATATGATGTTCTTGATAAGGTATTTTAACTTTGTGTGGTCTTGTCTATTGGGTGGTTTTTCCTGAATTGAATTTTTTCAGTAAGTTCTTTTGAATTGGCATTCAATGTGGACCTTACTGAATGTTTCATCTTTTCTTATTCCTCATTAGACATGATTCTTATCTATCTTGAATGATTTGTTGATAGATACATAAAATTTTTGAGTTGGTCATTCATTAGCTTCTGCCTGCCTCTGTGAGGATAATTTAATCCCAATTCGAATGATGTGAAACTTATAGCCCGACAGGCCCGTTAGCTGTCTGAGTTAGATTGGGTACATAAATTATCTGCAGCTGCCCCAACTGGACTATGAAACGGAGGTTCATGGATTGTGTTGATAAACTCAGTGAGTTGACAATAATAATCTGAAAAAAAAAGTTTTTAAATTGAGGTTGGTTATCTGTACTTATATGAACTGAAATGGTTTCGAGTCACAGAGTGGATATTTTTTTTCCCTCTGCGGCGCTTGTTTTTTAATCTTTTTCATAAAGGTTATTATTTTTCCAAAATGAAAGAAAGTTTAACATGCTTTTGTACACGGTTAGGCTTAAGATAGCTGAAGGCTATTGTATACGTAGTTTCCAGACCTGAACAAACTTTTTGATGTAAGTCAAAAGGATGTGGGACCTGAGTAAGTTTTCAGTCTGTCCTTCGCAAGTAATTAAGATTCTGTTTGGTGGATCCTAATGTTCAGTGGATCGTAATGTTCAGTTATGTTCATTCGGTAGTTTAATGTTCCATTAGGATGAGGAAAAACTTCTATTTTTTCCTCCTTAACATTCTGAAACAAAAACAAAAGCGTTTTACGGGGATCCATCTCTTTGAGCAAGCATGGTGTGTTTTTCTCCTTTACTTAATGTATTGCGTTTATTTATTCATTTTCATTGATCTTATTCTCCCATTATCTTTGTAATATTTTGCTTATTTTTGCCGATTACTTTGGCCCTTTCAGGTCCCGTATTTGCAGATTCGAGAAAACAATTGGACCTTCAACGCTGATGGAAATAGGAGATGGAATGTAAGGTACGACCTGTGAGATGGGCGTCTTATCAAAATTGGGTTGGTATGTGAAGGATGATTTACCAGTAAATTTATTAGATTTTATTGATGCTAATTTGAGATGCATTTACCGTACTTTCTTAACAAGAAAGTCTGACTTGGGGTTTGAACATTAATTTCGAATTGTTTCATTAGCGTTTTGCAAAATCTCATCGGTTGTAATTCTTCGATATCATCAAGATTTGTTTCAGCTGATGCGTATGATTGAATGAACTAGAGATGTGTTCCTTTTCTTCTATTTTCTTTCATTTTTTTACTCTAAATTGAATGTTGTAATAGTATATTTTCCTTATTGACGATCTTGAGGATTTTACATAACCTACATGTAATGTTATTGCACCATGAAAGTTTGTGAAACGTGTAGTGCTGGAATTTTGGAATGACCGAAAGTATTGTATTCATGGTGAAACTAATGCCAAGCTTTCTATATCTCTATATATTAGTTGCCTCTACATAGGGAAAGGATTAACTTTGATTTTATGAAACTTGTACTTGATCTAAGATATCTATCCTGCATTTATACGGTGGAGATTGTGTTTAGTTGTTTTGATTATCCAGTACTTGTTTTGTGGTACTATCTCACAATTTACATCTACATTCTATTCATGATGTTGACCAAAAGTCAAACTCGAACAACTTGTGAAATTACTAAAACGCGTGTTTTTGGTAGGTAACTATCCCACTATTGGTAAGAGTATGTTAAAATTATCCAAGATGGTTTGTGTACATTCGTGCTCTAAATAGACATGTGCATCTTTTTATGATGAATGTACCAATAAACATGGACTAAATTGGAAATGATTTGTAGGAAATACCATTGGATGAATAAAATATTATTACAAGGGTATTAAGAAATTTATGCATAACCATGTTGTTTATTTTTTATATAGAAGTTTATATTTTAAAATTGCCACTCATATATTACACCTGCACATGGTTATATTTAATCACCTGTGACACCTTAGAAAAAATATTTATCTCTGTATATTTTGTCCAATTTGCATTTTCGCAAAAGCATTATAGCCCTTGAACACAACCTTAATAAAAAACTAACTAAGATGTCATCTGAGTGCGTTGATATCGCCAACCTATGGTCTATATGTGTAATAGCTTTTGTTGACTGGTTTTGAAGCTTATGACACCGCCACATGTTTTCTTATTGGTACACTTGATGTTTGTATGCAAGTTGGGGTAGGCTAAAATTCTCAATCACTCCATATCTATAGTTAATTTTTTCACGTCATAGCTTTTGTTGACCGATTTTGAAGCTTATGACACCGCCACATGTTTTCTTATTTGTACACTTGATGTTTGTATGCAAGTTGGGTAGGCTCAATCACTCTATATCCATAGTTGATTTTTTCGTTGTGCGTTCCGTGCTTGTATACAAAAATTTCCGTTCAAAATCAATTTTGTTTGTTAGCTTAATTTTTTAAAAAAAATGTATGATTAGTTGTTAGTAGGATTTTGAGTTTATATTAAAATATTATTTAAAAAATAATAATTAAATTGAACTTAATGTAAAAATATGAGAAAGATTATGTGAAATGATGATTAGTTAATATTATGTGAGTGGATGAATAATGAATTAAAATTAGTGTGATGTGTAAGAATGATTGATTAATATTATGTGATTATACTGATAATATTCAGAATAGTGAGGTAGAGTTAAAGTTGAGTTAGATTTTGAGTTGGATTGAGTATGAAATGAAATATTTGGAATCCAAGCATGAGCTCACTTCGGGGACATCATCTAATTAACGCACATGGTGCCCGTAAATATTCTAACAACATATCATACATGCAGCACTATTATCGAAAACACGAAGACTATTGACCCAACAGAATGGATCTCGCTTTTGGTGAATCAAAGTAATAGCTACTACATGCACATGTCTGTTTATATCTTACGGGTCAAGATATAAACAGGTGGGCTCCTGAATTTTTTCTCACAGAGCACACACTTTAGACACATGGGCTTCTTCATTCCTTGTCCGATCCTTTGGTCCATCTGGACAGAAAGAAATAGTGCGAAGCATAGGGATATTACTTTTATGTGCTCTCACATTGTTTTGCAGGTTAATCTACATCTCTCTCTTCTCACGGCTCTGAGAAGACTCACACCTAGAGACTGGACAGGCTTCACGACACCCACCACTTCGTACCATCTCCGCTACTCCCTGTCCAACACCCAAACCCTAGATCCGTTGTTTGGCTGAGACCCGAGCCCCCTTGGTTAAGCTAAACACCGAAGTATCTTTCGGCCGACTTACCGGAGCCGCCAGAGGTGGGGACCTGATTAGGGATCATAGCGGAACTCTCATTACCGCCTTCCATGCACCTCTTCAGGCCTCCTCGAGCTACGACGCGGAGGTTAGGCGCTTCAGATCGCTCTTCAAATTGCTTCCTCTATCTTCTCTCACATTTGGAGAGATTTGGACGTTGCGGCTGTCACCACCCTCTTGACCTCAGGCCACTAGGGCTCGTGTCAAATTCAACATCTGTTCATGTGCACCAGAGCCACACTTCAGTCGGTTCACTACCGGATCTCGTACATCTTCCGCGAGGGCGACCGACTCGCTGACTTTCTCGCTTGCATCGGGGCTTCCACTCCCCAAAGGCGTATTCTCTATCCAAACGACGCCCCTCTTCCACTCTATACTCTTATACGGATGGACCAGATGGGATACCCATCGTTCAGATTTGGGTAGTCGATTTGTATTTTTTTGTGCTTCAGCCCGCTCGTGGTGCAGACTACTCATCTAGTCTCCATTCAGACCAGGCTCAGATTTTTTTTGTTTTGGTTGTTGTTTTTTACTTGTTTGTTTATGTTGTTATTTTTGTTTGTTTTGGACGTGTAGACTCGTGTATTTTCATCCCATTTAGGGCCCTGACTATATACAGGTTGGGGGTTCAGCCTTAACCCCCTACCCTTCTGGGATTTTTATTTTTATTTTTAACAAAAAAGAGAACGCAGTAATTAACCGAGGCCTAATTCGTTTACGACGATTAGTATGAAACAAATTGCTTCTCTCTAGGATCTTGTTTAATACATAAATGTACTAGTGAAACTAATCAGTCAAGACCAACTGTACGGTTGACACTACAACTGTTCTGATGGTTTTCATTTCCATCTAGGTTGTGAACCAAATATTCTTTCTGATAAATGATCTTCTGTCCACCTGCGATGAACCATTTTATCTAATGCAAAACAACAGAACATAGAACTTGTTTAATCAAATATGATTCTCATTCAACAGAAAAAAGTATAAATATTATCCAAAGTCAAACTTTCAGTGTATACACCAACAACGGGCTCAGGCTGAAGGACCTCGTCGTCCTCATCTGGCTCATCGACCAGCTTAAGAAGTCGACGAGGGTGCGAGAAAAGGAGAGGCTTGGTGATTATTGAATGGGAACGACAGAAATAGGGATTGGCTAGAGAATTTTTTGAACCGAGGTTTTCGGAGAAGGTGTGAAAGTAGGTTGAGAAGTTGAAGAGGAGAATGAAGTAGTCATGTCTTTGTAGGAGTAGCGGTCAACCTCACTGGAAGTACCAGAATTTGAAAAAATAAAAAATCAAAAAGGGGGAGAATTTTAGGGTTTTGCGAAAAGAGGAAAAGAGAAAAGATGTCGTCACCGACGAACATGGGGAAAATATCAAAACGAGAAAAAAAAAATTTAAAACATACAAAGATAGGAATGGTGAGACTTACTCATTGTAGATGAAGGGAGCGATGCCCTGAAATGCTTGGAAAGTTGGGACTGTAGAAAGCTGGATTGCTGAAAGAGAGAATTTATAAGCTAAAGCACAAATTTGCAAAGGTAAATAAACGGAAAAATGCGGGCTTAAGGGTATTTATAGGTGATAGAGGGAGACAATCGATTGATCCCAATCGTTGGATCGCAATCTGTAACAACGACTGGGATTAGACAGGTAAGTTGGAAGGTCGGTCCAAGCTAGAACGTTGGATGGAGGACAGAAACAATGGTGGAGATCAAAGAGGTGTCAAGTTGAAAGGACAAACCGCTGGTGAAGAGACAATGATTTTAAATTGTTGGATTTAAAGGCTATCCAACGGTTGGCATTAAAAAAGCATTTAATGGATGCGTCGTATGAGGCTGTGCAATTTATGGAGCGGTGACGTAAAGCCTGGCGTTTTGAATTGATAGGTCTGAAGGTTGGCAGAGATTCGAAATTTCCAATTCAAAATAAAGACCAAGATGGAGACCAAGAATGTAGAAAAAAAAAAAACAGAATCGTCAAAATGTTATGGTGCAGCTAAGTTGAAGGGAACGTGGGCAGAAATGTCAAAAAACAAAAAGCCGAAAATGCATCAACCAAAATCAAGGTCAAGTGTACTATTAGATTGTGTTATTCCAACTCGACCAAAATGGGGGGACCAGATGATATGGGGCACCATACCGGGAAGAGCAAATGGAATGAACCAGTCAATCAGGTCGAAGCAGATTAGCAAGGAGGTTGAACACCAACAAGGCATCTTTAGGTCAACAGGAGTGATGGTTTCAAAAGAACAACGACAGGTCGAGCTAGGGCCCTCGGATGGCCTACTGGAAACTCGACCTGTAGGTGAGGATTGGTCGTGCGATTGACCAAAAAGGTCAACACTTAGACTCAGAACATGCAACGTTCTACCTCAAATGACCTCGAGTTGGTCGCACCATTAGGTGTAATATGAAAGGCTAATGGATAAGAAGGAATCTTAAGTGGTTAAGAGTCGTATGTGGATAGGGCCACGTCGCCTAACAGAACAGGGCAATCTGGGCAAATCGGGCAGACCAAGAAGTTCGGGCTGTACTATCGGGAAACTCGGACAATTCGGGCAGTTTGGGCAGCCCATTCGAGAAGTCTTGGGCAACAAGGTATCATCTCCCTATATAAGGGAGTGAGGTATGCCCATTACCACATTGCATTCTCATCATAAATTTCGATATTGCACTTCACCTTCTACAAGTTCTAAATCAAGCATCGAAGGATCTTCACCAGAAACCCCTCCGGTGTGAGACTTTTTGCAGGTCTAAAGGCATTCAACTGGCGAGGAGCGCAAGATCAGGCCGATTCCAGCCAGTCGGTGGTCTTTTGCGTACCAAAATTGGTTTCAGTGAGGACACATTCTTAAAGTGAGTATGTGATACTCAATCCTAGCCACTAGTTGGTATCAAGATATGTGGGCAAGATTTAACTCTTTATTTTTTATTTAAATTATTTAAATTTTATTTTGACCAATGACTGTTGACCGTTGACTTCCAGCATTGACCATCGACTTCTGGTGTTGACTCTGACAATGACACATTGACGTTAGTATGGATTATGTATGACATAAATATGAAGTCGGCACTCTGCACTTAATATAAACTAAATATGCATTTGGTATGAACTGCATATCTAATCCTTATGAACTAAATATGCACTAATAATATCAACTAAGTATTCACTGTTTATGAACTAAATATGCATTTGTTATGAACTTAATACGCATCATGAATAAACGAAATATGCATCATGT